TGAGGGGAGAGCAAGAGAGAGTGGCGGGTCTGCCCTCCAGGGTGCTGGGCATGTATGCGCACGTATGCGCACGCCCCTGGGGTGCTTCTCAAGCTGCAGGGTCTAGGACTTGAACAGTGCACGCAGCCTTCTAGGATCCAGCCACCTTAACCTCCACACCACCAGCTAGCTGACCCACATGGTGAGCTTTTAAAGCCCGTATATCTTTAGGGACAGATGTGGACGTGTGTGCTTAGTTCTCTTTTCTTTTTCATTGTTAAGATTTTTTTCCCCATAAGGCATGTGTGCTCACTGGAGAGACAGAGAGAGAGAAAGTGAGAAATCACCCCCAGGAAGAATGACTGTACCATAATCCCTTCTCCACTCTCCTCCTGGGGTTTTGGGCATGAAGACATGGCTGGGCCCAGGACTCAAACAGGTGTGGGAGTGCGGCATCTTACCCAGCGTGCTGCCTGCCGGCCTCAGCCTTCCTCTCGTTACGCAGGGAGCCACTTCCTAACACTGCGATGGGAGGCCAGCGGCACGCCGGCTAAGGCAGTGGGACCACACGTGGGCAACTGCGGAGCTCAGGTCCCAGCCCCACTGACGTGGACAGGCCAGGCTCCTTGCACACTTCCCTCATCTCCAGGGGAGGGAGGAATGGGAGAAGGGACTGCAGTGGGACCGTTCCCCGGGGCAGCACTCTCTCTCTCTCCGTCTCTCTCTGGTGAGCACAAGTGCCCTTCAGCAACAGCAACAAGTCATCCCACCAGGCACGGGTGCACGTGGGAAAGTCCCGCAGGTGGGGGCCACACCCAGAGGGCTCCTCCTGTCACCACAGCTCTGCCCCTCGGTGCATGCAGAACGGGCTGCTCGGCACCACCTAGGCCCCTGGCTGCACATGGACCCGCCGAGGCCGTATCTGGCCCTGCCAGGCTGCAGGGGCAGCTCGACGGGGGTCTCTCCTCTCCACCTCCTCAGCTTGCCCTTCCTGTCTCTTTCGGGTCCCAGGATCCCACGAGATAGTCAGTGGTCACGTCCCCTCAGGCTCGTGGCGTTGGTGGTTTGAGGGGCACCAGTTAGGTACACTGCAGGATGCCGGCCAGGGCTGAGCGTGTCCTTCTCATGACACAACGGGGGAGGGGGAGGGCAGCCGAGTGCCTGTCACATCTGGAGGACACATGTTGGCCTCGCCCCAGCCACAAGCAGAGGTCAAGTTCGCAGGCCCCTCCCAGTGCCCGCTCTCTGAACAAGCCACCGAACGGAGCCCATGTCCCCCGTCCTGAGCGTCACCCGTGTCAGCGTGGAGGGGAGACCGTCCCCGTCCTGAGCGTCACCTGCGTCAGCGTGGAGAGGAGACCGTCCCCGTCCTGAGCGTCACCCGCGTCAGCGTGGAGAGGAGACCGTCCCCGTCCTGAGCGTCACCCACATCAGCGTGGAGAGGAGACCGTCCCCGTCCTGAGCGTCACCCGCGTCAGCGTGGAGAGGAGACCGTCCCCGTCCTGAGCGTCATCCACATCAGCGTGGACTCACAGATAAGCACCCTCAGCCTTGGGCTGCACTTCGGCGCTGTGTCATTTACTCCGTTGCTCAAACAGCTCCACCTCTGGCCACTGGGACCAGCGTCCCATGGGCGCTGTGCCTCCGACCACTCCCGTGTGAGGGTTTTGATGTGGTCATTCCAGCATGAGCACTTCTGTTCTGGACGATGAAGTTACAGGCTTGTGCGGGTTCTCTGCCCCAGCCATCACAAAATGTCTCCATGGAGCCATCGGCTGCTTGTCCCGCGAGCCCTACCTGCTTCCCTGGCTACGGGATGAGAAACCCAGCCTGCACCCGGGGGGCTTGTGCTCCTGGGCGGCTGCTGCCAGGCCTGCTCGGCCAAGGGGAGGACACGGGTACACTGACGGAGCAGACAGACCTCAGCCCTGCTGTGCCCGCAGCCACCCGTGGCGGGCCACGTGAGGCCAGTCCTGAGCTCACACCGACGTCCCTGGCTCCCACGCTGCCACCTGCTGCATGGCCGTCTGACTTCTGCACACGTGCCCTGTGGGGCCGCCTGTACGTCCCAGGGCACAGGGTGCAGGAGACGGCCGCGTCCCACAGTTACTGAGGTCACCACACCAGGAGGCGGTTTTACACATCAGTGACACACTGCTCCCTGGCCTCCACCTCGTTTCCACCCTGGGGTCCCTGACAGCCCACTGGACTCGGCAGCTGTCCTTGCTGAGGCTCACGCCCGTGCGGTTGGACAGGAGTCTGCGGCGTGTAGTGCCACGCTCGCCTCACACTGGCCCCCTCCTCCCGCTGCTCCGCCAGCACGCAGAGACGGACAGGCCGAGCCGCAGGGCAGTCCCCAGGGTCCAGTGGCAAGTCCCTGCCAGACCGGGAGCTCTGGCTTCTGTCTGATTTTCTGCTCCCCCAACAGTGTCCCCTCATTAACTCCCACATCACAGTTCTTGTACCCAGACAAGACCATACCTTCGGGAAAGATCGAAGCTTTTAAAGTGAGCCGCGTCTGTCCCTACAACCAGGAAATTCCCGCAGATATCCAGGAAGCACGGGTTGCCCTCGGTCTCGGAGAACAGCAGGAGCTGTTTGACAGTCCCCTGAGCAGAAAAGGACAAGCACTCAGGAGTGCGGCGGCTCCGGCGCTCCGCGGGTCACCGACTGCTCTCACCGACAGCGCCCTGCTGGCCACTTCCCACCTCGAGCACGCGCATGTGCACGCAGGCTTGCGTGGGCCTGAGGAACCAGCACTGCGTCTGCGAGGGGCAGCGGGCGGAGGGAAGGAGGCGCTGGGCAGCTCACACAGCCCGGTGGGAGGTGCAGCTGGCGGCCGGGGAGGCCTGCTGGTAGATGTGACGGCAAAGGCCCACTAGGACTCGTGCGGTGGCACCTGCTGGGCGAGGGGAGACAGGGCCCGGCACAGCCGCCTCCCCAGCTCTCCCTCTCCCGTAGCGACCCGAGGGAAGGTGGTGGCACAGGCTA